GTTAGACCTAAAACCACAAAAACCCTAGAAGAAAACCTAGGCAATATCATTCAGGACATAGGCATGGGCAAGAACTCATGACTAAAACACCAAAAGCAATGGCAACAAAAGCCAAAATAGACAAACGGGATCTAATTAAACTAAGGAGCTTCTGCACAGGAAAAGAAGCTACCATCAGAGTGAACAGGCAACCTACAGAATGGGAGCAAATTTTTGCAATCTACCCATCGGACAAAGGGCTAATATCCAGAGTCTACAAATTTCTTAAACAAATTTACAAGAAAAAATCAAACAATCCCATCAAAAAGTGGGCAAAGGATATGAACAAGCACTTCTCAAAATAAGACATTTATGCAGCCAACAGACACATGAAAAAATGCTCATGATCTCTCGCCATCAGAGAAATGCAGATCAAAACCACAATGAGATACCATCTCACACCAGTTAGAATGGCGATCATTAAAAAGTCAGGAAACAACAGGTGCTAAAGAGGATGTGGAGAAATGGGAATGCTTTCACACTATTGGTGGGAGTGTAAACTAGTTCAACCATGTGGAAGACAGTGTGGTGATTCCTCAAGGATCTAGAACTAGACATACCATTTGACCTAGCCATCCCATTACTGGGTATATACCCAAAGGATTAAAAATCATGCTGCTATAAAGACACATGCACACGTATGTTTATTGCAGCACTGTTCACAATAGCAAAGACTTAGAACCAACCCAAATGTCCATCAGTGATAGACTGGATTAAGAAAATGTGGCACATATACACTATGGAATACTATGCAGCCACAAAAAAAGGATGAGTTCATGTCCTTTGTAGGGACATGGATGAAGCTGGAAACCATCATTCTAAGCAAACTATTGCAAGGACACAAAACCAAACACAGCATGTTCTCACTCATAGGTGGGAATTGAACAATGAGAACACTTGAACACAGGGTGGGGAACTTCACACACCAGGACTTGTCATGGGGTGGGGATAAGGGGGAGGGATAGCATTAGGAGATATGCCTAATGTAAATAACCGAGCCTAATGGTGCAGTGCACCAACATGGCCATCGTGTAACAGTATGAACAGGAACATGCATTTGTGCAATGTACCCTAGAACTTAAAGTGTGTATATATATAAAAAAGAAACATGTCATGGATCCAGGAGTTGCAGTTAAAATTATAAATCAATACATGGAAGGTATATGTTGGTTAAGCCCCAAAAGGTGGGACATCTCAATGCATGAGTTTACAAGTTTTATGTGGGTTTAGGGATTCTTTAGTTGGAAATTGGTAGAAAAAGTTAAGGTTTGTCTAAAACATGGAGTCAGTAGAAAGGAATGCTAAGGGGGTCTACTATCTGTCAGGTGATGCCATGACAGAGTCAGGTTGGAAAGCAAGTCACAATGTACTGGGTCAGAAAGGACCTTTTTGATGAAATTTTATGGTTTGTAAGGCATGATTCCTCTCGTCCTTAAACAGGAATTTCAGAAAGAAAGAAAAAAGGTCCAGAAAGAAAAAAGGTTGAGGACTGTATTCAGTCCTCAATCTGCACTCTCTAATATCTGCCAGCAGCTGAGCTCTTGGGTAGGGGGCAGGTGAAGTGGCGTTCTTTATAGCCCCACCCGACCCTGGGCCCCCTTCTTTCTGTGTGCTGGCAGCATTGTGGGGACACTGTGAGAGCAGTTCTTGTTCCATTATTTCCCCGCCTCAGGAAGGGGATCCCTATGCTGCTAGCTCCAGCACCTGAGAACACATCTCTCTCATCTACCGCCGCCTTCATCCCCAAGATCTGTGGGTATGCAACCTGTCCTTCTGGGGCACTTGGTCTCCCTTGCTTCTTGGCCTGAGCTGGCCAGCCCTACATGGTCGCCTGAGCAGCCCATGGAGGAAGGTGTTTTTTGCTGAGCCCTGACAGTGTGATTGAACATTGGAGGGACCTGGGTCTTCACATGTCCTGGGCTGCTTGTTTCCATCAGACTCATAACACCTGTTGTCTTGGGTCCAACCAAACCCTACTGCCCACATCTAAGGTCAGTTTTGTTAGTGTGATCCATGCATAGGTTCAGGTTTAGCTCTTCAAAACCATCTGGCCTCTGCTGACCCATTGAGTCAGAGTCAGGGTGAAGAATTAAGATGAAGACAGTTCCACTGACTTGCGGAATGTTTGAGTTTATTGACTAACAGCAACATTTTTGTGTGAGCGTGAAAGGAAGTGGAGTGTGTGGACACAGGGTGTCCTGAGACAACTCTAAATTGTCTCCTTCTCTACCAAGACTATGTTAGCCTTGGGCGCACCAGGATGGACACAGACATATATAAAAGGGCTTCATGCAGTGTAGCTTGCCCTTCCACTTTCTGCCACATGAGGACACAGCAGGGAGGCCCTCACAAGATGCTGGCACCTTGGTCCTGGGCTTCCCAGCCTCTAGAGCTGTGAAAAATAAGTTTCTGTTTCCTGTAAATTACCCAGCCTGTGTTATTCTGTAATAGCAGCATAAACAGAAGAGGACAGTTCCTTTCCTGGGCTCAGCAGGGGCCAGGGAAGAACCAGAACTCCAACTCACAGGAGGTATATGGACATGAGGGACTCTGGGTCTTGGGACCTGAAGTGGAGATTTGGAGTGAGTGGGAGTTGTCCTGAGACTACATACAGGGCCAGGACTGACAGCTGGGATGTTTCCTTGTGTATGTATCCTGGCAGTTCTCTGCCCTCCCCAGGCTCCACCCCATCTTCCCTTCCTCTGTCTCAAGGAGAGAGTTTTGGGGAGTCTGGTAAAACCTCCTCACATTTTCCTTGTCACTTTGTGTTCATTATTATGCTCAATCTCCCCAGGGCTGTGTCCCAGCCCTGACCCCCTGGGAAAAATGAAAAGTGTCCAGATGTCCCCCAGCAGATGGGAAAGTGGCCACAATGTAGAATAAAGCAGTGTATATGTAGCACATTTTGGAACTAATTTATACTTAGTGTTTTATTCGACTGCCGCTTGTGATTTCAGCTGTAACCATTTGAGGACAGCCAAGCAGAGGTTGCCATCTTTATATAATGACTCAGGGACAGCAGATGAGAGATTAGGAGCTGAGGGGTGCAGGGTTAAATGAGAACTCACATTTCTGGGGAAGGAGGAAGCTAGTGACACTAAACTACAATCTGTGCCCCTTTTCCTTCCTGGGGTTGGGGTCCAGGGATGCTACTGACCAGATGTTCCCAGCATGTCTCTGGTCTTAGTCTCTGGCACAAAATTTGCTCAGGGGCCCACCTCATGGCTACACTCAACATCTATGAACCCAATTTCCTGATTCTTCACTGCACAGATTCCTGAAGGAAGAGAAGTATAGCTATCTCCAGGAGCAAGTGCAGACAGGTGAGGCAAACTAGGAGAGTTCTTTCCAAAGGAACAGGGCCCGCAATGCGAGACCTGTCCTCTAATTAGGCCTGTGCACCCGAGTCATGTCGTGCATGATATAGAGTCTGGAAAACCAATAAAAATCAACACATGTCCCAGAAATTGTGGATGTCCATTTCTTGGGGATGCAGAAAACTCTTAAAGACCCATACGTGTAGTCTGAGTCAGGCAGGAATTAGTGCATCCTCCCAGGGGCCAGTGCCTTGGAGTGGGCTCCTCTCCCCTTGCTCCATGAGGGACGGCTGTGCTCCCAGAGGGTCCTGAGGCAGGACACCCCCCCTCACCTCAGGGGGCTCACTCCCCATGAGACCCTGTCCTGGGAGCTGCCTCAGAATTGGTTCTTAAATGGAATGAGTGGGGTGGATTGTTTGGAGGACACTTGGAATCACGGTGGATAAAGCGCCTCTTCTGAGCTTCCTTCTGCTGATGGAGTCAGGGTCAAGAGAAGGACCAAGGGTGGGAGCAGACAGGAGAGGTGGTGGGAGGGTCTCAAAGGAAAATCTGTTCAAGTCTGGAGCAAGGCAGGGCAGGGCTGTTTGGGTTCTAGAGACCCACCCACCATGGGTGGGACAAAGTGCAGCAGCTGTGCCCACCTCAGTGCTGACAGACCGCAGGGCGGTCTCCGAGCCTGGCTCTCCCCTCTGCTTTGCCTGAACACCCACAGTCTAGGGGCCACCCTGCCAGCATCTCTATGGAGGCCACGTGCCAAGATGATGGTCCAAACGCACCACAGGTCTTGTGTTGGGTCCCCCCAGGCGGACCCTGAAACGCAGACTGGTAGGTGCCAGTGGTTTATCTGGAGGTGATCCCAGGAGGCACAAGTGAGAAAGGGAGATGGAGAAGGGGAAACACAAGGTGTCTGTTCTCAATGGGTTACTCTGGGGCCGGGGGCATTCATCCTGCTAGGGAGCTCTGAGAACCATGTGGCACACACCTCTGAATCGGGGGCCTGGAGGCTGGGAGACTGGGACATTCACCTGCCTCCCTCCTGAAGATGAAGTGTGGCTCTCAGACTTGACCTTAGGGGTTGGCAGCCATGGCCCGAGGACCAAAGGCAGCCCAGTCTGCTTGTCTCCATCTGTAAACAAAGTCTTGTTGGGACAGGACTGCTCTTATTTGTTTATGCATTGCTTGTGGCTGCTTTCAACATACAAAGGCAGTGCTGGGTGGCTGAGAAAGTGACTATAAGCCTACAAAGATCAAAATAGTTACTCCTTAAATCTTTGCAGAAAATACATGCTGAAGCCTGGTCTGGGAGATGTGGACAGGGTGTCCATAGCTGATGGCTATTCTCAGCTAACACACTAGGTATACATGGACCCTGAGCATTAGTGCTGATGTCACATGTGCTGTGTGGGATCCTGAGTCCCTGTCCTGCTCCATGTGCACATCTGGTGCCCTGGGAGGCCACCCTCACTGCATCTCTGCAGCCTGCAAGGGGCCCTGAGATGGCAGCTCAGATGCACGTTAGCTGTGCCTCTGGAAGCGGCTCAGGAGGCCTAACAGGGGAGAAAAACTTACCCCTGAGAGCCCAGGAGGCTGCCTTGCTGAGAATAACTCCATCAACTGCCCAGGCCCCTCCCTCCAGAATCATGGCACACAAAGCTTCTTAAAATGCTAGTTGTTACGTTGTATACTACATGATGAACTTAGACAATGAAGAATTTCTAAAATACCTCAGCATGACCTCTTAACACGTGGAAAGTAAGAACGCACAAGCACAGAGCTGCTCAGGCACTGAAGGGCCATGCTGAGGAACTGCCGATGTGCTGGAAAGGAGAGGACAGCATGTGGCCAGGCCCGTGGCTAGGACCCACTCAGGAATGCCTGCCTGAGCATGTCTTGTTCCAGAGGTCAAACCGTGTCCTCCAGGGCTCTATTCCGATGGTGAAGAAGCAGGTGCGGGTCTGAGGGAGCAAGCACAGGAAGGGACAGTGGGTGGGGGCTTGGGACGCAGAAGCTTGTGGCTTCTGCTATCAACACAGGTTCCATCTCAATCTTGCCCATTCCCAGGGCTGGGCTCTGGCCCCCAAGTATGGCCCTCCAGCCTGAGTTCTGGGCTGTTCCAGACTTTCAGGGTGATCTGTGGCTCCCTCCTGACCAAGGAACACCTATATTAGCACCCTCCTCCCCAGCCAGCAGCCTCCAGGGAAACCCAGGCTGTCCAGTGTCTTTCACCCTCCAAGAACAGCATGGCACCCTCCATTCCAGAGGGAGCTGCTCTCAGATTTAAACAATTACTTAATCTATTACCTAATCCTCTGATAAGGGGATGGAGTAATGCTAGATGTGTCGTGCACAGTGTCAGGGTTCATTATGTCCTTGTCCCCAGGGCAGGCACTGCAGCTCAGCAGGAGCCAGGACAGGACCAGGGAAAGAGGGCAGTGGGGCCCCTCCTCAGCCTCCGCCTGCCTCAGACTCTGGGTCAGGGGAGGGGGGCCCTGAGAACCACACACTCAGAGAGAAGTGACGCTGGATCCCCAGCAGGCTCTTTCTTCAAAAAGCAGAGGAAGGCTGGGGAGGAAGACCGGAGAGGGGACAGCCTCTACTCAGGGCTAGGAGACTAGGACCCAGGGGGCAAGAGCAGTCTGAAGGCCATGTGCCCTGGGTGCAGGCAGCTGCAGTGGCGTGACATGGCAGAGTCAGAAAACTCAGATTGGCCAGGAGCCTGCAAGTGGACCCCTGGCTGCCTGCCCCTCTATGCTCCTCACTAAGGCACAAGCAGGGCAACCTGGTAGAGGCTGCTGCGGGCTCACTTCTCTATGTCTCTTTGTCAGTTGCGCCCGTGCCCACACCACACCCCATGCGGCATCCACAGCTGTGTCCAGGAGGGAAGCTGGTATCTTATCTTACATTGTTCAGCTCTGGGCTCTCTTGAAAAGGGCAGTTGTCAATGTCGTCTTCAAACTTCCCACACATGGTTCGGCCCAGTTGCAGATTCATGGAGAATGTCATCTTATCGTAACCCTGTTGAATAAAAAAAAGATTAAAGTGGACAGACTCTTTGAGTTGCTCATAGGTAACTCCTTGTGAAGATGTGACCTTGTAGGAAGAGACCGCGACACTCCCCTCTATTAGGGAGCTCGCGCATGGGCCTGGCATCAGCTCACTGGAGGTAAAACCCCAGAGAGCTTCTCTAGACTGAGGAGTTAAGAGCAAACAACAAATATGTGTGGTGGGTCCTGGGACAGACACAGGCTGTCAAACCCTATTAATGCATCCTCTATGTCCAGCTTCACCTCCTTGTCTCCCACGATGAGACCCGGCTTCACTTCCAGCAGGCATGTGAGCCTGCAGCTGCATTTTCAGAGGACACGTGCTGCATGCTCGGGAAGGTGTTAGCTCTCCATGAGTTTTCAGGGTAACCTCAGCCCTGCGGCAGAGGGAGCCTCATCTAGAGTGTGTTGTCCAACCTTCCACCTGACCTCCAGCAAGAGGAATGCAAGAATGCTGCCCAGCGCTCCCACTACACACAGGCACACACCCTGGGGACAATGGCTTTCAGAAACATCATCTGCCCTATTGCAAAGTGCACTCTGAAGTTCTCCTTGCTCTCCTTCCCACTCCATCTCATTCCACGCCATAGACTCCCTCCCCATGCATGCATTCCTCTCAGCCCCTCAACTGACTCTGGGATTGCCACATCCGGGCAGCCACGTGGAAGGCTCCACACCAGAGGGCCGGGGGCAGGGAACCAGCCAGGGCCTTGCACAGAGTCTTCCCAGAGCTTAAGCTCTGTGTGGCACTGGAGTCCCTCTGCCCTTCCTTCAGGCTCTTGGTGCTGACAAAGGCAGAGCAATGCTCCTTCTCCCTCTAAACCAGAAGTTCACTAGGAGGGCATTTTATTTGTTCATGCCTGCAGCCCGGATGAACTACACATTCCTGAATCATTTAATGATTCCATTAAAAGGAGAACATTTTAGGATTAAGGACCATGGACTGAGGAAGAGTGTAACACAATGTTCAACTCATTAAGTGTGGATGCAGCAAGGAGCCCAGAGCAGGTGGAAATCAGAGAACCAACCTCACTGCGGCCTCCCGGAACTGATGGTGCTTCTTTTTTACTTCTGAATTATCAGCTCTCTTTGTCTCTCTGTCTCTCCTTCTGTTTCTTTCTGCCTGTCTCTGTCTCTCTCTTCCCTTTCTTTTACTCTGATTATCTCTTTTCCTAACTATCTCTTTTTAAATTTCTTTGAAATGTTTCTCAGTTTCTGTCTATGGACATTTTTGTGTGTGACCCATTTCCTCACCTGATACATCATTTGCTCAGTTTTCCTTATTTTGAGGTCATTCTTTAGTTAACTGATGCCATAAAAATCATGAAGGATGAATAATATATCTAGTATTGAGTAGATCTAGACTCAAAATATTATAATGTATATCTTTCATAAAGACAAAAAGCAAATTTCTGAGGTTGTATTTTACACAAGTTTAGACTACACATGGTGAACCAAGAGTCCTGGTTAAGCCCTGCCCCACACGCTCCCACCCCTGCCCATCACTCAGCAGCCTGTGCTGGACTCTAGGGAAGAAGACGACGTGGTCACCAACCTGCTCCTTCCAGGAATCCAGGACACGCATCAGCTTGTAGGCATACCAGTCCTTGCTCTGCTGGTTGAATGTGTACACGGCAAACTCCAGGGTGGGAGGGAGATACACAGCAATTTGTTTTTGGTCATTCCACTCCTCTTCCTCTTGGAAACGCCAAGCATAGGTAACCAGGAACTGGAAGCTGAAGAGAAGCAGCAGTGGCACCCAGGACAGAGCCCTGCTCTGCGGGAGACTCGACATGGCGCAGGGCCCAGCAAGCACCGCTGCCTCCAGCCTTTCCAGCCTGGATTCCCGCAGGAACCTACTGCACACAATTCTGTCCCTTAAACTCTTGAGCTCAGGCGGAAACTCCTCCCTCCAGGCCTCATCTCTGGTATTACAATCTGTCCCTCCCCAGTGCGGCTTCACCTCCTCCAGACGAAGCTGTTTCCATCATCTCTTGTCCAGGGAGAAGTAACAGCAACCACGGGGGTGGGTTAGAAAGATCAGGGACCCCAGGGGGCAAGAGCAGGGCATGAGGTCCAGCTACCACTGCTCCCTAGTGCCTCAGTTGGCTAGAGGAGAGCACCCACTTCCTTGGGTGTCCCAGGGTCAGATCCTGAAATAAGAACAGAAGGGCAAGGGGTGTGAGTGGAAAGTGATCCCTGGACATGCCAGTGGGTTGGGGAAACAAAAACAGAAGCGTCAAGGACTAAAAGGAGGAGCTGCCGGGAGCAGAAACACTGTGAGTGAACAGAAGGCATGGCTGCACGGGGACTCATAGGAAGGCTCCACAGCACCTGCCTGAGTATCAGCAACCTGACGCTCTAGGGCTCTGGGGCTGACGGTGAAGACTGCTCTTGGGCATCCTTCATGGCTGCTTTAAAGCTTAGGACCTGCTGCACTGGCAGAGCAACCTCCCGACAAAGAACTTGGGAAAGATTAGTACAGGTGCTTGCAGCTGGATTCAGCCATTGGAGATACAAGTTTGGCAAAGTTGGGGGATGGTCCTAGGAACCCGACACTGCTGGAAGTCAGCAATAGAGGAGGGGGCTTGGGACAGAAACAATGCCATGCATTCAGAACCTGGTCACTTTCTCCTGAGCATAGCTAGACATAGATGTGACTTGTGCTGAGCTCTGACCTTGAATGTGGCGGCCGTGAAGGACGATGTGCCCAAGCCGAGGATACTCCCATGAGCTGGTGCATACCCTTCCTTCCCAGGCCTACAGGATGGAGGGAGCATCCAGGTGGGACTCGGAGTCTATGGATGGTACTCACAGGGGTGGGTCTCAGCAGAGTTGCCTGCAGCACAGTCCTCACCCTCTGGCTGACCCTCTCAGCCCTGAGTCATGAGTGACAAATGCCATTTCATGCTTCCACCCCCTGAGATCCTTGTTGTCCCTTCCAGCAGCTGGCAGAACTTAATGAATTCACCTAGGTTCTACCAGAGATGCAAGGGGTTGGGGTTAGTGGTGGAGGGATGGTCCTAGACTTGGAGACCTGAGACCCAGTCCAGCTGTACCAGGAGCTGATTCTGCACCCTCGCCCTTCCCTGAACTTCCTGGGCTTCACTTGTCCACTCCTCAGATGGGCGTAGCATCGTCCATCCAGCCTCCAGAGGCTTGTTGCTTACTGGACAAATTGTCCTCATGGAGTCAAACTGCTGTGATAATTGCGAATCTGTATGCTTAGATTGGCAATTGTTCTGCACTGGCAGTTCCTTTCCTTATCTCTGCTGAGGGTACATCTGGACCTTGCACATTTGACATTTCTCCCCAGTGTCCAGGCCTGGACCACAGCCTGGGGAAGGAATGAAGGCAGGGCTCAGCACTGCCACCGAGGCTGACAGCAAAGTGCAGACTCTGGGAGGTATTCTCACCACTGTGATGACTCAGTGCACCTGCGTATCTCTCCAGAGGGGAGCACAGATGAAGGAGGCCAAGGCACAGGACATTCCTGCAGAGGGGGCGCAGAGGGAGGGCGAGCAGGGGCCCTGGAGAGAGGGGCAGTCTGGCTTCCTTCCCATGCTCTCTCCAGAGCCCCACCTGGGTCCTCCCTCGCACTCTCCTCACCCACCTGGAGCACCCTACCCATCTGCACCATGTACTCTGCATCTCCTTGATCTTCATGTTGTATTTTGACTGTTTCTGTATTAATTCACTTAGCATAATGGCCACTAGCTTCATCCATGTTCTTGCAAGTGATATAATTTTGTTCCTTTTTTATGGCTGTGTAGTATTCCATGGTGTATATGTACCACTTTTTCTTTATAAGATACACTGTTGATGGGCAATTTGGTTGATTCCATGTCTTTGCTATGGTAAATAGTGCTGCAATGAACAAAGACTGTATGTGTCTTCTTGGTAGAATGATTTATTTTCCTTTGGATATATAGCCAGTAATGGGATTGCTGGGTCAAATGGTCATTCTATTTTTAGTTCTTTGAGAAAATTGCCAATTGCTCTCCACAGTGGCTGAACTAATTTACATTCCCACCAACAGTGTGTAAGTGTGTTCCCTCTTCTCTGCAGCCTCGCCAACATCTGTCGTTTTTTGACTTTTAAATATTAATCATAGCCACTCTGACCGGTGTGAGATGGTATCTCATTTTGTTTTCTTTTTTAAGTTTTATTTTAGGTTCACGGGTACATGGACAGGTTTGTTTTATACGTAATTTGCCTCTTAAGGGGTTTGGCGTACAGACTGTTTCATCACACAAGTAATAATCACAGTACCTGACAGGTAATTTTTTTATCCTCAGTCTCCCCTGGCCTTCCACCCACCACCCTCAAGTAGGCCCTTATTCCTTTCTTTGTGTTGATGTGTACTCAGTTCTCACTTATAGGCAAGAACATGTAGTATTTGGTTTTCTGTTCCTGGGTTAGTTCACTTAAGGTAATGGCCTCCAGCTCCATCCATGTTGCTACAAAGGACATGATCTTACTATTTTTTTATGGCTGCATAGTATTATTTACTGTGTATGTACCATATTGTCTTTATCCAGTCTACTGCTCATGGACATTTAGGTTGATTCCCTGTCTTTGCTATTGTGAGTAGTGTTGTGATGAACATACACATGCATATGTCTTTATGGTAGAATGATTTATATTCCTTTCTCTGTATACCCAATAGTAAGTTTTCTGGTTTGAATGGTAGTTCTGCTTTGAGTTCTTTGAGAATTCACCAACTTGTTTTCCACAAAGACTGAACTAATTTACATCCCTACCAGCAGTGTACAAGTGCTTTCTTTTTTCTACAACCTTACCGGCATCTGTTTTTTGTTTTGTTTTGTTTTTTAATTTTTGGTAATAGCCATTCTGACTGGTGTGAGATGGTATCTCATTGCAGTTTTGATTTGCATTTCTCTAATGATTGGTGATGTTGAGCATTTTTTCATATGCTTGTTGTCCGCATGTATGTCTTCTTTAGAGAAGTGTCTGTTCATGGCCTTTGCCCACTTTTTAATGGGGTTATGCATTTTTTTCCTTGTAAATTTGTTTAAGCTCCTTATAGATGCTGGCTATTAGACCCTTGTCCAAAGTACAGTTTACAAAATTTTTCTCCCATTCTGCAGGCTCTGTGTTTACTCTGTTGATAGTTTCTTTTGCTGTGCAGAAGCTCTTTCTTCAGTTTAATTAGATCCTATTTGTCAATTTTTGCTTTTGTTGCCTATGCTTTTGGCGTTTTCATCATGAAATCTTTGCCAGTTCCTATGTCCAGAATGGTATAGCAGAGGTTGTCTTTCAGGGTCGTTATAGTTTTGAGTTTTACATGTAAGTCTTTAATCCATCTTGAGTTGATTTTTGTATATGGTGTAAGGAAGGGGTTCAGTCTCAATCTTCTGCATATGGCTAACTACCTATCCCAACACCTGTTATTGAATAGGGGGTTCTTTTTCCATTACTTGTTTTTTTCAGCTTTGCTGAAGATCAGATGATTGGAGGTGTGTGACCCTATTTCTGGGCTCTCTATTCTGTTCCAATGGACTGTGTGTCTGTTCTTGCACCAGCACTATGTTGCTTTGGTTATTGTAGCCCTGTAGCATGGTTTGACATTGGGTAACATGATGCCTCCAGCTTTGTTCTTTTTGCTTAAAATTGCCTTGGCTATTCAGGCTCTTTTTTGATTTCATATTAGTTTTAAAATAGTTTTTTCTAGTTCTGAGAAGTATGTCTTTGGCAGTTTGTTGGGAATAGCATTGAATCTGTACATTACTTTTGGGCAGTACAGCCTTTTTATTAATATTGATTCTTCCTATTCATGAGCATGGAATATTTTTTCATTTGTTTGGGTCATCTCTGATTTCTTTGAAAATTTTTTTGTAGTTCTTATTGTAGAGATCTACAATATAGATCTTTGCTGTATTCCTAGGTATTTTATTCTCTTTGTGGCAATTGTGAGTGGGATTGTGTTCCTGATTTGGCTCTTGGCTTAGCTCTTGTTGGCGTATAGAAATGCTAGTGATTTTTATACACTGATCTTGTATCCTGAAATTTTGCTAAAGTTGTTTATTAGCTGAAGGAGCTTTTGGACTATGGGGTTGTCTAGATATAAAAGAATGTCATCTGCAAACAGAGATGGTTTACCTTCCTCTCTTCCTATTTGGATGCGCTTTATTTCTTTCTCTTGCCTGATTGCTCTGGCCAGAACTTCCCATACTATGTTGAATAGGAGCGAGGGAGAGGGCATCCTTGTCTTATGCTGGTTTTCAAGGGGAATGCTTCCAGCTTTTGCCCATTCAGTATGATGTTGGCTGTGGGTTTGTCATATATTGCTTTTATTATTTTAAGTTATGTTCCTTCAATACCTATTTTATTGAGAGTTTTTAACATGAATGGATGTTGAGTTCTATTGAAAGCCTCTTTTGCATATATTGAGATAATCATTTGGGTTTATATATTTTTTGTTTTGCTTATGTGATGAATTACATTCACCAATTTGTGTATGTTGAATCAAACTTGCATCTCAGGGATAAAGTCTACTTAAGTGTGATGGACAAGCTTTTTGATGTACTGGCAGATTTGGTTTACTAGTATTTTGTTGAGGATTTCTGCATCTATGTTCATCAAAGATATTGGCCTGAAGTTTTCTTTTTTTGTTGTTGTTATGTTTCTGCCAGGTTTTGGTATCAGAATGATGCTGGACTCATAGAATGAGTTAGGCAGGAGGCTCTCTTCTTCAATGTTTTGGAGTAGTTTCAGTGGAAATGGTGTCAGCTCTTCTTTATACATCTGATAGAATTCAGCTGTGAATCTGTTTGGTCCTAGGCTTTTCCTCATTGGTAGGCTTTTTTTTACT